CGCCCAAATCCACTATCGAAGCTGCAAGGCAAACTTTATTCAGTCTCTGATAAAGCCAATTTGTCAATATTTTCCGCCAAATATATATACGAAATGAAGGTATCAACATCATGAAGGAATGTTTTAACCTTTTCTCCAATCACTTACCTGAAAGCTTTAAGTAACTGAAGAAACTCCTGATGCATCAAATGTAGAAGTTTCTTCTGAGTCTCTAAGACAATGTTTGACATACAATTTTGCCTGTAAGAGAAAAAATTTTGGCTTTTAAATATTATTAGGATATGCCCTAAATGTATTACATACACAATGCGGATAATTTAATCCCCCTTTGTAGCACTTTCACTAACCGACATGCTTGTAAATGAAGCATCTCCGTAGTCTAGCTTGAACGAGAAGACATTTAAGGGATAGAGTCCCTTAAGAAACTGTAGATACGCCTAGTCGTTTCCCCACAACCTGCGGGACATCAACAACCGAATATTCTTAAAAGTTAGGTCTCCTTGGCCTCAAATGATTTGCCTACTCAGGTGCCTCAACAACATATCACTGTATAAATAATTGATTTAATGGCCAAGCAACTCTTACCCTAGCATATCTTCGTTAGCTTCATCATTTCCCACCGCATTCGGGACCTCCTGTCCAGTCTCGTTACTGGAAATTTTATGGCGTGACTACAAGAAAAACGCGAGGATTTAATTAAAAAGAATGCAGGTTATATTTTCAAGATACTAAAATAAGTCTGGAGAGAACCTTTATCAAGAGAAGACGTGAAAAATTTGTATTGTTCATTTATCCAGACACACACAAGTCTGGAGTGAGAATGAGATGAAAGAGGAGTTGAAAAGAGCCCCTACTTAGCAAGAAAAGCCTTCGTTTAACTAGATAAAAGGGAACTTATCTTTTGGTATAAAGCAAGTAGTAAGCTTTTTTGCATAAAAATTCTTCACCAAATGCCCATAAGTAAGCCTGACAACTTGCATGCAGACTACGTTTTATCGTAAAATAGTAGGATTTTGAGACTACCAGTAAATCATATATATGAGCTGTGTTAACCCTATTTTGTTTTAAGGTGATGAAGGACTGGTAGTTGTCTTGCTACAATGATATGAGTATAGCTGATGTTTTCCATTATATCTCACATAGCCTTACTTTCACAAAAGGTGTTCTCATCCAGGGTGGATTGTAGTTTCTACCTCGCATAGGTCTTATCAACACCCAAGCGGGAATCGAACCATGACAGTGCGGCGTGTAAGCTCGAAAGGTTAACTACTATGCCACATTGCCACGAGTGCCCTTGGGTCACAGGGCAGATGTGAATTTCAAGGAAGGCCAGGCCTTTTCACAAATCGCATTCTTTGGTGGGATTGTCGATGAAGCAAACTTATATTTGCTATAGCAATTTGGAAAGGCAGGCTATGTGAAATTCAATGAAAACATCAGTTCTACTCATATCACTGTGGGAAAATCAACCCTCAATCCTGTATCACCTTAAAACGAAATAGAGTAAGTACAACTTATAAACTGCATTTTTTCAATCCTTGCAACTGAGGCTATGGTTAAAGTCATTTCCTGGTCATATGTGATATCGCATGAACAAGGCGTAAACATCGAGATATTACTTCCCTCCTTGCTCATTCGTTCTTGACAGGCTCTTTCTACTCTGCCACATTCAGAGAGAGGTGACGAAATAGAGTATAAGAGTCATTGTTTTTGACATTTCTACTAGTTCGCAAAGTTTCGTAAATGTGTCGATTGGATCAATTTTAAATTTGATTTTACCAAACCAAATACTTCGCAAAATTACTAGATGAGCAATGGAATTTTAAATGACGTTTACGCTTCTACTACGAAATTGCACCACGAAGGACAAAATGTCAGATTGGACGGGCAGATGAACAGAATATTACGCGTATGAAGACATTAGAATGCGATCTTGCAAAGTCATAATCGCTGTTTGCTGCAGACACTCATCGACCATGCTTCCTCAGTGCTTTTCATTCCATTTGAAAGTGCATGAGCTCGATTTCAGCAGAAGATAGCGGTGTTCTTTTTGTCTGCCTTTCGGTATTCCTGGTTTCATGTGATTAAAGCAGTAATCGAGAAGCACTAGTTCATTTTAGGCGAAAACTTGCAATGCCTTCCTCTGCAGACATCATCAGAGCAAGGTCGCATTCTTACAAAGATCTCAAACCTATAAATAAAAAATCTAACCTTGTTTACCTTCATAAACAGCTCAAGTAACTGAAGTTATGGATAGATTTATGAAACTGATGAACTGATGAAGGATAAGTAGATGAATTTTCCCACGATCCTATGAGTAGAGCTGACTTCTCTATTGAATTTTAAATAGCAGAAATTTCTTTATCAAAGTAAACAAGGTCTAATGACCTCACCATTATCTTACATAAGTGACAGAAAAGGATTCATCATTTCTATTTCGTAATGCCTGAAACTCGTTTGGTTGAGCCGGTTAACATTGTGAGCTTTAATTAAAAACAACACTAGAGAAATTATTTGTTCTTTCTTTCTTTAAAGACGGCTCAGAAACTTTTATATAGTTAAGTCAAGCAATCAAGCGTAAGTATTTCTTGAATAAGAGCTTTAGATCACTTAAGCTGATAAAGACTATCAGTAAACTTTCCTACAAAGAAGTTGTTTGACCTTGTTTTCGCAACTTGGTCACATTGACATTAAGACCTAGAGGAACGCACCTAGTCTATTAAGAAATTTCACTTAGCCTTGTTTTCCAAGAGGTCGTTTCATAGAGAGGTACTGTTGTTTCCACCTCGCCTAGGTCTCATTAGCACCCGCCACACGAATCGAGCCCGAGTAGTGCAGTGTATAATTTTGCTATACTATTGTTACGCCACACTGCCACGAATGCCAGTCGGATACAGGGCAATAGTGACTTCCAAAGCATGCTAGGCCTCTCCTATATCATATTTTTATAGTGAGATTGCCGCTGAAACAAACATGTACTCGCCATTACAGTCGACAATGTGGCTTTTATTCGTTTTTGGGTAGGATTTCGAGACTATCAGTAGATCTTGAATAAGAGACCTAGAAAATCTTGAAATTCACTGCTTTCAAATGACCTATAGGCATTCATGGATGTGGGGCGAAAGTAAAGCTGCACTATTCTGGTTCAATGCCCGTTAGGGAGGCTGATAATACACAGGTGAGTTTAAAACTGCAATACCTCTCAATAAGAATACCTTTTGGAGAGTAATTTAATGGTATTCTGAGGCTCACTCATCTCATTGTGGGAAAATTCATTATCATTCCTCAACATCTTAAGTCACCTAACGTGACTAAAATACTTATTCAAGATTTACTGATAGCCTAAAATCCCTACTCATTAATATGTCTTGCCCAACGCCCTATTCCCATTTCTAGCATTCAAAGTACTTCTTGATTTGTTGAGTTTAGATTCTTATCTTATTTGGATTTTTGTATCAGGTTAGTCCATCCAAAATAAGATCTCCCAAATCAACATGCTTGTCGTGCCCCCCTTACTGTATTCAGCCGTTTCTAAATAGGATACTTAGTAATACTATTTTAACTTTTCTCTCTTTGTTTTGGGGCCTTCAAATTTGGAGTTTTAGAGTGCAAGCGTTTAATATTTCAGAGGCAGTCCACGTCTTCTTTTCAATTATTAAAGGTTCATGGTTCTTTATATAGGTAGGTATAATATGAATAAGTATCAAAATAGATTCCCCATCCTCCTAACGTATTGACTTTCCTATGAGAAGGAAAGCAATAAGACAACATGAAAAGGGTGTCAGACTTTGTCACTCCTAAATTGAGTCTAATGTCAGGGAGGCCACAGCCTTTTCGTCAACCTTAGGGTTGAAACAATCGGTGAGGACGGTCATAATTTGGCACAAATGGTAAATCTTAAGTGGTAAAGATGATAGACTAGTAAGTTTAAGCTAAATTTTGTACTCTATTCTAAAGTTGATTTATGTCATTTAAAAGACTATAGTACATCTGCCTGCCTTATTATGAAATTATGTAGGTAATAATCCACATGTTGTTGGATCGTAGTCAAAACGAATACGTGATGCATAGTTACCTCTTAGTGTTTTGTTACCAAATCTTTCTCCATGATGCAATAATATCATCAGTATATGAAGTGTATTCACTCCATTTCGTTTAAAGTGATAAGGGACTGTTAGCTGAATTTTTCATGTTTTGATATGAGTAGACTGTATTAACTAATGAATTGAATATAGCCTTGCTTTCCCAGAAGGTAGTCCTTGCAATTCACATCTGTCCTGTGGCGCAAAAGCACTCGTGGTAAGTTAGCGTAGTGGTTAACATTTCGAGATTATACACTGCATTATCATGGTTCGAGTTCCGCTAGGGTTGCCGATGAAGCCAGTTGAGGCAAGGTCGAAATTACCGTCTACTCCTGCCTGGATAAGAAAACATTTTGAGCAAGCTATTTGAAATTCAATGGAAGTGTAAGGTCTACTCATATAAATTTGGGAAAAATTCAACCCTTATCAACATATGCTTTTCGCGGTAGTAAGAGATGGTTTAGTTTGATGCTAGTAAGGCTTCTTGCGAGTATAATAGAAGAAAATACCTTTACTCAGTGCAATCCCCGAAGCCATATGTGCTGTCTGATTCCAAAACATATTCTGATTCATAATGATCTTTAATTGTTTAATCCATTTTAGACACAGTTCTTGGGCTATCATCTCACTCCGATAATTCATTCAATCTCGCAACTCAAAATGCAAGTTAGGCCATGACTGGAAGTAGAAGCGAGAGGAGGACCCAGGGCAGGGATGTATTTAATTCAAGTTGACTATTGTGTGTTATGGCCTTCTCGCCATTTGTTTGTGATAAAGGCTTTAATTTCTGCTCACCGCATTTGCCTGAACCCCGTCAGTCAACAGCTGGTGCAGCATCCCTGAGTCAGAGCGATCTTGGTACCGGCGTAAAAACTCTCGATGAGGAACCTGGTTGCCTGGGCCCAGCTGAAGAGCCCCTCCGGAGCGTGCCAGGAGCTCGACCACTTGCCTTAGAGACAGTTGGGGCAAGTTTAATCGAGTCAGGCCTGCTTGGAACGCGGACAATGGAATCATATGAAGCAGTTGTTGCCTCGGAATATTCGGCAGCCCAAGTGTCTGTAAGTTCACAACAGAACGCATTAAAACAGTGGCCATTATCATGTTCAGAGTTGGGAGGCAGCAAAGGGTGAGGAAATGTATGCAAGCGTTTTGTGGACTGAGAAAGGGAGTCGGCCCAGTCTCGGGGCCTGAATAAAAAAATATCGGCTATGAGCTTTCAACAAAAAATTATCATTCTTAAAAGTAATTTGATTCAGGAGGTGACTTTTGTTATGGGGTACATACGATCCTTTTTGTATAGGTGATGGGACAATGATCCCTAGTCATGTGTCACGAGGTGAGTGAATAGGAAACCTCATAATATTTAGACTTTCTAGTTTTACCCAGAAAGGATAGCGAGCATAATTCTGTGATCTCGCCAAACCCCTTGCCACTAAATCGGTTTCACTACACCTTTTTGGCTCCTTTCGACTGAAATAATCAGCAAATTCAATTGAGTCCGAATAATATAGCGGATCGTCCCACCATATTTTTACTTTGGCACAAAGTTCATTCAAGACTCTACCTCTGTCATCTAGAACATATTCAACGATCAGACGCTAATCCGATGACGACTTTCGCCTCCATACAGGATTAGATTGGGACAACTCATAGTGGAATCAACCTCCACGTCAGCTTCGCTATCAAGCCTCTATCATCTCCAAGTCGCCTAATTGGCGTCTCTTTCCAACCCACCTCTGATAGAAAGTACTAACCGAATTGGATCCAGCTGAACCTCACGACTTATTTCACGGAGGATGCGCCTCCTCAGCAGTTCACTTTTGCACAGCACACAAGTGCCTCGCCCAAAAATCTCAAAACAATTTCCTCATGAATCGATTCTACTTTTCCATTAAATCACTCTTGTGCATCGTTAATCCAGTACAGACCTCCTATCCTGGTAAGCATATCTTTTAATCTTTGGGCTTTTTAAGCGATTGGGACTGATATATAAAATGAAGTCAAGTCTTCTTTTCGTCAGCATAGTTATTTCTAAAGATCATTGAACGTAGGAACGTATTAATAAATTAGATCAAAAGATAACAACTTTTACCTACATTTTCATTTTCAAAAAGTAACTGGGATTCATTAATTCTTTTGAGATGGCATTGTTGCCGAGACTTTCATTTTGCAGGAAATTGTATGATGGAAATATTAATAGGTCGAGCTCATTAGAAGAAAACGGCTGATTCCCGTTGTACTGCAGCCGCTTGGCTTTAAAGCGACGTCCATG